TCAAGCGACGCGTATTTATTTTCTCAATTATACATGGGTTAACTCCACAAAACATCCCTCAAGTGTCATTCAAATTTTTAATTAATCTCTAAATTCGAAAGTTTAATAATTAAAGTATAATATTGTATTCGTCATGTCATTTTAAAATTTTGATATCTAAAGCATATAAATTAAATTATAAATGTGCATACACGTACAGTTTAGATCCCATATTTTTTAAAATATAATATCATTAAAATTTAAAAGGATTATTTTTTAACACGTTAAATACAAAAGTGCATACATGCACAGTTCGTAACCATACATACAATATTGTATGTATAATAAGAATTCATGCAATAACGAACACAAAATTTTATGTTAGGACGAACTTCTAAAATTTTAATTGGAGAGAAACCTATAAATTTTAAAAGACTAAAACAAATCATGAATAGAAAATGCAAAGAAGGAATCTAAAATAAACTATAATTCGGATGTCTCTTACGGAAGCTGCTCTCAACCTGGCGTTGGGGGCAGCCTACTATCTTACCTCCCCCTTACCTCATTACATATGGGAATGAGGGTCAGCTAATTTTTTGTATATTATTAGTCTAAAATGATTACAAGATAGTATTTGTTTAAAAGATTCTCAATCATTTGATAATAAAGATTTAAACAAAATATTCTTACAGACGATGTACTCGAACCTAATACCTCTAAAAATAACAATAATCCCTTTAATCATTGAAGTTTATAAATTTACATAAAAAATACATTTTGTAAGATTTGAGTCCACGTTTAACACTCAAGTTAATAATAGATTTTACAGAAAAAAAATTGATTGATTGATAAGATAACGATATTTTGAAGATTCAATCAGAACTCAGAATGTATGAAATTATAGGCTTTAATATTTAGTCCATAGCTTGGGGACTTGTAATGAAATTATCACATTTTGTATGTTTTATATAATTCTCAAAACCCTCGTGGTTTTGGGGACGGTTAGAGATAGAAATTGATGATAGCAAAGAATGGCTGTTGAAAGTCAAGACACAGCTTCTTTATTACTGGAGAATGTATGGGCAAACTTCATTGGTGGAAAACAAGCTGATAATAAAACAACAAAATCATGCAAACCCTGGGAAGAATTGCCGACCTTGGATGGGAGAAACGGATCCATGGAGATTTTACAAACGCCGCCGAGTCGTAGGCGGTGGATATCAGTGGGAGCTGACGCCTGGGAGGGTCTTCTCGATGGGATTATTCCATCTGCACCCAATACGAGCACTAAGGTGAATTTCCCGAGAGTATAGAAGAAGGTGGCAACAAGGCATTACAGTGGAGTGAGGAGGCGGCCGTGGGGAAAGTACGCGGCGGAGATACGGGACTCGTCGAGGAAAGGCGCTCGAGTTTGGCTCGGGACTTTTGAAACAGCCGAGGAAGCAGCGATGGCCTACGACAAGGCTGCTTTGAGAATTAGAGGCCCCAAGGCTCATCTCAACTTCCCAATAGACACAGTTGCCAAGGCTACTGGCATCGATGACTCCAAAACTGGCGGCTCTACTTGCAGCACCGGTCTTGGCATCATCGAAAGCTTCGCCGAGGATCGGAAAAGAGGGTGTCGAGAATGGGAAGAAGACAGGGAGTTTGTGATGGTTGAAGAGCCTGCAATGAAGAGAATGGCGAGCGTAGCAGAGGTGGCTGAAGATGGATACGATGTGCTTGAGTTTCAGGATTTGGGGAGTGATTATTTAGAGAGCTTGTTGTCTTCTTTTTGACAGAACTTGGATGATCATCACCATCACTTTAAATTGTTCTCATTAATTCAACATATTTGATTATAAAAATATAAGTAGCTAAGAACATTTCCAACTGAAATTAAGCTGATAATCTAAATTTTCAGTCATAAAATCTTTCAGAATCATGTTATAAGTCCTATGTTTATCAATTTTGCAAAGGTTCAGAGATTGAGTTGTGTTCGTGCTCGCGAACTTTCAGCTTCGGAAACATTTTTATAAACGAATATATTACTCGTGTAAATCTTCGGTAACGCAAATGTAAAATTCATATAAATTCTCACATACACAAGTGTACTATGCAGATAAGCACGTGTCAATTACTACTATCTTTATGAACATATTCTTGTAACATCACTAATTACCGCATGTTGTAACATCACTAACTACCACGTATTGATACACGTGGTTTCCTAGTCTAAGCCTTTATTCTCTAGGACACCTATTCAGTATCAATGACGCCTATTCAGTATCAATGAAGCGACAATTCTTGACTGATGCTAAGGCGGATGCACTAAGCCCTCTAGGGGACAAGTACATTCTATTATTTTAAAGAAAAAAATATTAAATTTAATTTAGTGTGTTAAGAAAAAAATATACTTACTATTTTTAATAAAAATATTAAAATTTTAGACCTACATTATTAAATTTTTAGATTTATCATTGACTGGTACCCATCGATAGCCTTATAAATATCCATATGATTATCATAATCACTTTTCTATCGCTTTATATAGTTTTTGATCACTTTACTAGTGAACAAGTTGTTATGGAAAGAGAAAATGTGGCTCGAATTCAAACATTTTTTAATAATATTGAGTAATTACAATATTATATATGTTCATAATCTTTTTTAGCAATTGACAACGTACATACACTGGGCAAATGTAACTGCTCAAACCTAAAATTTGAAGAGAAAATAACATTATTTTTAACCATTGAATCACTCAAAAAAGAACAACACTCCTTTTAACAACACACAACATACATTAAAACAAACGAATGAATGTATATATAATTTTCTTCTTCAAAACTCTAAAGAATGTAACATAATGGGTCAAAATATTCAAACTCTAGAAATTTTGATTTTATTTAACTTTATATAATCGTATTTTAATATAGATTTTAGATAAATTGAAATGAGTTTTGTGAAGAAAAGATTTGGTGCTGAGATTAGGGACGGTCATATGATTTAATGTCATGGGTCAACTTTCTAAAATTTTAGGAGATTTAGGAGATGATAAACTTATAAAATTTGAGCGACGAAGACATATTATCAATAAAAAATACAAAAAAATCTAAAGTATATGATAATTTGAAATGTTTAGGGAGACGCGATTGCCTCCGACTGTTTCTCTTTGGTTCATCCCTGATTAGGACGAAGTTTGATTTAGAATATAAAATCTTTGATCTAATCCAACTAAGATAATTACTATTATGCCCATATATATATCTAATTATCTTCATATATTCTCGAAATAATAATGTTTTTTTATTTGTGTCAGGTTAGCGTTGTGCCTAGGACTATAAACGATTATAGTTGAGCTCGAGTATTGATGAGTTTGACTCGACTCAAAAACTTTAAAATGAAACTCGACTCGGCTCGAAAGTTCGCGAGCCTAATTTTTCAAGCTCTACCGAATTCGAAACCATGGAGCTAAAAAAAGATTGAAATAAAAAAAATCTTAAACTTAACTCGGTTGAAATATAATATTGTATTTAAAAAACAACACATAAATATTAAAATTATTAATAATTTATTTATTTTTAAATAAAATTTTAATATATATTTTTTCGAGTTGCTTGTAAGCTTTTCGAGTTGAGTATCAAATAACTCGTTCGTTACGAATTCGAATCATGCTTTAACTGGAATCGAGTCTAGTCAAAACGAATATTTATTGAACTTTAATCGAATTAAACTCAAATAACTCACAATTTATCCCGTCTTATTTAGAGTTGAGTTGTGCACATCCCTATGTAAAACAAGATAAGACAGAAGCTGTTGGCCAAATGTAAAACCGAAGTTCAGTCCAATTCGACTCATGAACATCTTTTATGAATATATTAAATGTTTGGGCTGAACCCTTAACTACAAAATGGGCTAAATTGGGTAAACTTACATGGGCCACCCATATTGGTATCTCATCCTCACTCTAAATTGCTTTTTGATAAATAAGAAAAATTTAATATAATTTATAATTGAGTCGATGTCTCTTCTTAAACTGTCGCAATTACAGTTAAAGGAGATGTATTGAATTAATATTCATCTAACAGTTCTTCACAATTTATTTTGATCAAGGTGTTTGTAATACTATTTTACTCTCTTTTACTAAGTCAAATTTATATCTCTGAATCTTCTTGCAAGAGCATTGTTATCTATCCACTACAAGAACATATCCACGTAGTGATTTGGAATATTTATGAATTATTTTCACTACGTCAATATTATCCACCCATACTTTATATTTATGAATATTCAATCTTCGAATATGATAGATTATTTCGTGACTTGCACTTAGTCCACCCAGCTTATGGTCGTCTTCATACTGGAATGTTGTGCTGCTGTCCACCTTGGTTATTTGGAAATGTTCCACGTGCAGCTTTGTTCCTCTTGATTTCCTCCCACAATATATGCAGTCAATATGATCATTGATTCCATTGTTAATTTTTTTGGTTTTCAAGTTTCACAAAGATCGATTGGGGAAAAGAAGGGAAGGTCCGTATAAGAGCTAATAGATTAATTGGTGTTTTGATGCCCCTTAACTAAAAACTTAAATTCAAATTATGTCTCGAGTTTAAATAATAATACATATTGACAAAATAATTTTAAAAAAATAATTAAAATTTTGAAGTTCTTAATTAAAAAAAATACATGATAATCTTGAGAGAGAATTAACAGGATTTAAAAAAACAATTGAAAAAGTTAAATGAGTTCTAACACGTTATTAAAACAATAATCATTATTTCCGTCACATCCGGGTCCGATCCCTTCCTCAACACTTAAACCAACTAACACCAGCCGCACCAAACGCACTTTAATACCGTCACCTATTTCTAGCCGTGTCCTTGCACTTTAAGAAAACAAAACCCACCCTGCAATCATTCCATTTCCAGTCACAAACAGATAAAGTTGGTTGTTGTGTTCGTACCAAAGTCGTTAAAAAGCCGCCCCTCAACTCACCATTCTTTTCATCCCTTCATCACAACAGTTTATAACAATACAATTCGAACCAAGACTCAATTGAAAAAAAAAATGAGCACGGCGAGATTCATCAAGTGCGTTACGGTTGGCGACGGAGCCGTGGGGAAGACTTGCATGCTCATTTCCTACACCAGCAACACTTTCCCAACGGTATAACAGTGGGAGCTATCAGCTATGGAATGTTTCATGGTGATTAAACATTATGATTAATGAAATGGTTTTGTTTCTTTTTCTTTTTGTGGTGATAGGATTACGTTCCAACAGTGTTTGATAACTTTAGTGCCAATGTGGTGGTAGATGGTAGCACAGTGAATCTTGGCCTATGGGACACCGCCGGTAAGTGTTTTTTTTCTCCCTCCATTAGTCTCTCTGCAAAATTGCAGCCTTTATAGGCCATACTGATCTGTTCAAATGTTGTGTAAAATTTTCAGGACAAGAAGATTACAACAGGCTAAGGCCTCTGAGTTACAGAGGAGCTGATGTGTTTTTGCTAGCTTTTTCTCTGATAAGCAAGGCTAGTTATGAAAACATATACAAAAAGGTAAATTTTGCCTATGTTCTGGAATTCCCAGTTTTATTTTCATATTTTTTTCATCCACTTTTGACATGAAATTGCTTTAATTCATGGATTATAGTGGATCCCTGAGCTAAGACATTATGCTCCTAATGTGCCGATTGTGCTTGTTGGAACCAAACTAGGTAATCTAATCTGTGTTTTCATGTTGGTAACTTAGCATTCCATGATATTTTATTACACAGTCATCTTGTTTTCATAATTGTCTCTGTAATTGAATGCAGATCTGAGAGGTGACAAGCAGTACTTGAATGAACACCCTGGATCAACAGCAATATCAACTTCTCAGGTAAGTTAACAATTACAGCATTAAGGACTCAGTTCAAGAAAATGGTCACCGGCAGGTCGAGACATAAATGTTCATAAACATGGTTCTAATCAAAGATGGACGAGGGGCTAATGGGGCTGTCGTTCCTAAACATTTCAAATTATCATATGTTTTGGATTTTTTATATTTTCTATTCATACTCTGTTTTCGCTCTCTTAACATAAAATACCATATCCGTCCCTGGTTCCAATTAATGCTGAGAATTCATATGAAAACTTGGTGAACAGGGAGAGGAACTGAAGAAGATGATAGGAGCAGTCACTTACATTGAGTGCAGTTCCAAAACCCAACAGGTAACCTTATTATACGCACCATTCATCCTAGATTTCACCAAAATTCCCAACACCCTATATCATAATGAAGAATATCAAGTGTTTAAAAGGCTTAAACTTTGACTTCGTTCCGTTCCTGTTCAGAACGTGAAGGCTGTTTTTGATGCCGCAATTAAGGCAGCTTTGAAGCCACCAAAACCAAAGAGAAAATCCTGGAAGCGAAGATCATGTGCTTTCCTTTGAAAATCAATCGTTGTTGCAGATAGAACACTTATCAGCTATATTTTGTATTATTTTTCTATCAGCAATTGGAGTTTTGTTTAAGGTTGAGGAGTTTGAGACCCGACTAACAAGCCCTACTGTCACGTCAAGACATCAACCATACAAAACATTATCAATGTCTTCTTCTTCTCCGAATCCAATGATGTTTGACCCTCTGTTATTTAAATTACTTGTTTCTTACTAATTGTTTCAACAGGCAACCTATCGATGATCGTGTTGGACTGTCGAAGGGGAATGGGTAGAGGTTTAAGGTAAGGTCATTAGATGAGTCATATATCTTAAAAGGCCATTGCTTTTGACTTTTTATTTTTACACCCACCTTATTTGGGTTTCCCTAGGAATTTTACTTTGAATGTTATTGATTCGAAGCGAGTTGTCCATGTTATGTCTGGGGAAGATAATTTGATTTGACCCGATTCTATCTAATTTGATAAGATCTGATTTAAAAAAAAATCAAAATTAAGTTGAATTTAAGTTTAGGATGAAAATGTTCTAACTCGGCTTACTTAAACCCGAGAAGCATATTGCATTCATTTGAACCCGACTCGAATGAGTTTAACGAAATCTCATCCGACCCGAATTTTAAGATAAAAACATGAATCGGACTCAACCTGATCCGACACAAGTATAAGAAAAATTCTTTAAACATTCAAATATAAATATATAAATTTATCTAAAAACTGATTTTACTTTTTATCTATAAATTATTTAAATATTCTTATTTCAAATTCCAATTAAAAATTATTATCAGTTAAATATTTAAATTCTGAAAATTTTGAATTCAAATTTGTAAATCTTTTGTTGAATATCTGAACTCATGCAAATCTAAATTCATAAAAAAATTAAATCATTAAAGTTTGAATCCCTAAAAAATAAACATATTCTCGATTCTGTAAATAAAAAATCTAAATTTATAATCCGTAAAAATAATAAAATTTAAATAATAAATCTATCATATAAGGAAAAAATGAATGATACGGGATTCACATTCTAACATATAATATCAACAAATGATAATAAAATTTCATTAGTATAAAAGATTATATTATTTTGAAAATATATTATCTCTCTATTTAATAAAGAAATTAGATGATAATATAGTTTCAATTTTTTTAAGAATTAAAACCCGTGGTTGTCAGGTCGACGTTGATATATACTACTTAGTTTAAAGTTGTATATTAATAGTAAAAAAAAGATAAATTACTTTTAACTACAGTTAAATGAATATTTTTTGAAATCTTCGTACGGTGTTCCCTTTTGTGAAACAAATAGAATGATTCTTTAGTCACTAAGAATGTATGTTAAGCACTAATATAGTTTTTTAAGTAGAAAACATTTCTTGTAATAATCTATAAACTTTGAAGTTCAAATATTCTACATCAATATTATATTCATTCAATTCGGTACCAGATAAGAATTATATTTTTATTAAAATATGAACAATAACATTTATGTGTAAAGTTAGGGGGGCAAAGTGCCCATAATACCCAAAGTCAAGGGTCAAATTGCAAATGAAAGACAAAGTAAGGTGCCGAAAAGTATATTAACCCATTATAAAATAAAATAAAATAAAATAAAATAAAATGCATGTGCAGCAACATTTAGGCAATTTACTACGAGCACGTTTGCATTAAGTGACTGTTGTCTTCACCGCATTTCTAGCTAAAACACACCCATCTTTCATATGCCCGCCTTACGCTCTGCCTCTGATTTTTCTTTAAAAAAACAATTTACCAACACCATTTATTGTAATCATGTGCCTTCTATATCAACACTTCTCATATTTTTTAATTAAAATAAAATATTTTAATTATAATTATAGTAAAATTTATTAATTTATTAATTAATTAATTTAAATCACTTTACTTATTTTACTTCAATTATAATACAAAATGTGAAACATTTGATTTTATTTAAGGATCACAACTTTATTCAAACAAATGATGAATGTAGTTATTTTTAAAGTTTTTAATTAAAAAACTATCATGTATTGATTACAACGACGATGATAGAAAAATATGGTTGTGATAGAAGTAAGTGATTTACTTATAATTAGAACGAAAAGTTATATTTGATGATTCTGTGAAAGACATAGAGTAAATGAACTAAATAATATCATGAACAGTGAAAAGTTTATAGAGAGTGATCGAAATGAAGATCTCGTTCTTCAGTCTTGTACAATGACTTATATATTGATTCTTAGGGTGTGTTTGGTTCACGGAATGTAAGATTATCAGTGGGAATAAAAGATTAACAGAGAATATGAATACTAGGAATGTTGTATTTTGTGTTTGGTTCGTTTAGCAGGAATGTAAGATTGTCATGTTTGATTAAAGGAATAAAAGATTATTGGAATGTATATTTTATCAAATTGTCCTTATTTTATATTTGTTTTTTTAACAAGTTGAATTCTACTATAATATTACTATAATTAATTTATATATATTTTTTAAAAAATTTAAATTCATAAAGTTTATATAATTTTTTCACAAAATTGAAAAGATAAATAGGTTTAATGAAAGGGTAAAATGTTATTTTAACCCCCGAACTTCGTATAAAATTATAATTATGGACTCTTTTTGTACATCTAAAATAGTTTAAGGATAAATTTGTAATTTAACATTCGTAGAATTTTTTTATTCAATAACAAAATAATGATATTTTTTGGAAAACAAATTAATGGTATTTTAGTCTAAAACACTGGTAATCCAACAATACCTAAGGGAATGAGGGTAATCACATTCCCGGTAATATACCTAAAAAATCCACTGTTGGAAATTAAAAATTATCGAAAATAGAATTACCGGCCAACCAAACGGGAGAATGAGAATTTCATTCTCCCGATAATCATGAATGTCGTGAACCAAACGGCCCCTTAGTGTTGATATCATCATACCTAGGGTCATGATAACTATTCATAGATTGATACGATAAAAGAATAACAATAAAAATACAACCCAACGTGAATAGCAAAAGAAATCCTGTCTTGAGAAAATTTAGAGAGGACAGTATAACAAATAAGAACTCGCTTATTTTGACTAATTAACAAGTTAACCTATTTATTATAGATACATTTATCAATGCAAACAACTGGAGATTTGTTGATAATAAAATCTGTAATCTCGTCGTGTTATAACTCAAAACATATTGAATATGGAACCTCAAGGTAACGGGTATGGCGAAAGAGTGTTGTCAATCATAAGCCAAATACACCCCCACACATGCAGGTTTCCAGCGACAGAAAAAGGCCAAAAACCCTAAACAGTGAGGAGTCCGCTACTTGTTCGTCTTCAACTTTGAGATTCACAGTTGGAGTTGGATGAGATGGGGATGGGTCCCCACTTCTTGCTGCAAACTCCCTTGTGTGTGTCCCCTAAACAGAGAAAACAAAAGGCTTTATCATACTAAACAGAGCCATAGGTCCCATTTGGATCCTTTGTGTCAGACCTCCCAACTGCTACATTTTTTTATATTCTACCCATGACTAATACTACACTTCTTCTTTTCGATCTAATTCTGCTTTTAGTCCCTATACTTTAATAATATTATCGGTTTTTTTATATTGATAAAACCGTTAATTAATTTGATGCCATTAAGTGATCCCTATCTACACTAAAAAGTGTTACCCTATGTAATTAAATTGTGCTATATATATATATATATATATATATATAATATTTTACGATAAATTAGAATTCTAATTTTGTCTTCTAGTTTTTTTTACAATAATTAAGTTCAACATTCATATTCTAATGTTGAATCTTGAATCTTATAAATAAAACAAATTAAATTATGAAAATTTTCAAAACACGTCTTCATAATAAATTATCTGATTTTTTCAACTAATATATATATGATATCATTGGTTATATAGAAAAAAAGAGATATTTCTTATTAGTCTCGAATGAATATAATATAGTATTTGTTTAAATATTCTCAACCATTTGATATTTAACGCTTATACCTCTGCATACATGATATTCGAACATGAGACTTTAAGAAATAACAACAATTCATTAACCGTTAAAATTATTTGGTTCGTATAAAAGAATTTAAACATAGTTAGAAGATTAAAACCACAAACAAACTCACATCTAAAACAACCCATTGAATAAACCATATATAATTAAGAGAGAGAATAATTATATCATTTATGATGCATACGATTGGAGATAGATATGATACTCGAATTCAACAAATTCCGACTTGATCCGATCTTGTAGGACCAAGTTTATTTATTTATTTTGAAAATTTAGATTTATGTTAAGTCATGATTTTTTAAGGATAAGAACATATATGATTGAGTTCAGATTTAAGGTAAAAAATCTTTGAATCAAAGTAATATAATTGTATAATTGTTTCTTATATATAGGGATAATTATAATAATATACATCTCTATATATTTCTTTAATCATATCTCTATTTACCTAATAAATATGATAATTATATATATGTTTGTGTTGTGTCGGGTCGAGTCGAGTAAAAAAATTTATGTTAAAAGTTAATCAAATTTTAAATCAAATATAATTTTCTAACCCAAATCAAGTGATGGATAAAACAATAAAGTAAATTAAAGTAGATCAAAAATTCAACCAGACTTAACCCATATTCATATGATATGTGAGAATAATAAATGGTGAAACGAGTCTTCCAATTTCTAGGCTTGAATCCTGCCTAACATCTCATACCATTACCAACCATTGAAGGCCGCAAACAATACCCCTTATATGCGTGCAAATGCAACATAACTGCATAATTAATGTTTTTGCCCTGTCTACACCACAAGTTTTACAACTATTCAATTTAATCCATGTGAATCGACAATAAATATACAAAAAACCTCGAGTCAATCCAACTCCTCCAAGGGCCACCCCCATACTTTGCCCAAAATAAACCACTTGTATATATTTGCAATTACTACCCCCTCCGTATTTAGTTCCAATCAAAGTTATATGAAAGAATCCCATATCCCCATTCTCGACCCTATTTATTTCCTTCCAACACATCCATTAATGCACTGCTACCAAAAACCCAATTAAGAGCAAAT